ACCCCAAATCTTACCGTAGCTTTCTAGAAGGCAGGATACAAGGGGGCAATAATGATTACATAAGTATTAAATAAAATAATAACAATTCTTTCCCAGGCTGGCATTGGGTATTTTCCTCTCCAGCTCTGGGTTTCCAGCAGGGAACTGCTCCGTACGCGGTGTCATTAACCCCTTCCTATGTGTGCTTCCCCGGCAGGGCTCTGCGTGATGAGCGGTGCGGCCATCTTCACAGTGAGGCACACGGACTGGCACGAAGCCTCGGAAAACACCTCCTACGGCTTCGCCTATATCCTGGCGTGGCTGGCCTTCCCCCTGGCCCTCGCCAGCGGCATCGTCTACGTCATCCTACGGAAGCGGGAGTGATGCCGCGGGAGGCGGCGTGGCGTGACAAGGGCACTCATGACGTCCACGGAGGAGACAGAGGCGGGGGAAAATAGACGAGAAAACCGAGAAGAAAATTAACCAAAAAAAAAAAAAGAAAAAGAATAAACCCTCCCACCAAACCCAAACCCAACCGACCCCAAAAGGAAACACTCAAAGGGTTACTTGTTAATTGAAGATGTATATAGTATCTATGGTTTAAAAAAACCTATTTATAACACTTTTTACATATATGTACATAGTATTGTTTGCTTTTGTTGACCATATGCTATGTTTTAAAGCCTAAAGCAAGTGCCTAAGGAACTATTACTCCTAACAGTGTAACAAGAGCGCGGTGATTTTTCGCTCATGCAAAGTCCTCTTTGACCTGAACTCTCCTTCCCCACCCCAGCCCTTATCGAACCGTCAGAAGACCCCGGCTCTGACTGGTTTTAGGCTAGCGTAAATCGGATTTACGCCTGTTTACGCGAGATGGAGGGTTGGTCCCCTCTCCTGCCACATGCTGTGATCCTGGTGACTGAAGTGCGCGTCCAGATCTGACGGGAGACGCTTCCGAAAGGTTTGAAGGATTTTGGAGCAAAGGCTTCGATTGCCCCAAGTGCCTAAATGACTTATGTGCCTGAGTCCCATGGCCTTGCCACCACACCCGCTGGGAGTTTGGGCTTTTAAATCACTTAGGTCGAATTGCAATCCAGCACGGGCTGTCCTCCTTGCCCCTGGCGCCCGTGCCGCGGGGCTGGGCTGTGTGCCGAGCCGTGCCGAGCTGTGCCGAGCCGAGCTGCCGGGGCACTGCTGCTCCCGACCGTGAAACGTGCTTTATTTTTGCCGTGGAGCTAAACTACCGATGAGAAAGAAGTAAACCCAGTATATCTATGAAATCAAATACCAGATATATGAAATGGTGCTATCTATTTACCATTCCTTATATTGCTAGCCATTTAACCTTAATCACTGGAAATTCAGTTAACGATCTTGAGGTAAACAACCAAGCTAGAAATGAGAAATAATTCTGTGTAATATAAATGAGCTATAACTGCTTTTGTACTTAGACTTGCTCTTACTATTATTTTTAATAAAGCATTTATAACCAAGGTCCCTTTTTTCCCTGCCGTGGTCAAGAGGAACAGAAACAGCTCTGGCTGGAGCCCTGTCGGTCTTCGCCACCGGAGCGAGATGTCTGTCCTCTGTCTGTGCAGCAGCGATGTGTCTGGCCATGAATTGAACAGGCACCTGAGCAGACCCCAGGCTGCCTTCTGAGGACTCCAGACACTGTGTTGCTGTTGTTTTTGTTTTGTTTTGGGGGTTTTTTGTTTCTTTTTTTTTTTTTTTTTTTTTGCTTTGCTTTTCTGATTTTATACCAACTGTGTGGACTAAGAAGCAATGAAATAAAAGTCAGAATAACTCAGCTGCTTCTGCTTTTTTGGCATTTTTGCAGTTTTAGAGCTGGGCTGTGCTCCACCAGTCTCCTTGTGTGGCCAGCCTGTGGAAGGTCTCTGTGATGGCGTGTGGCACATCTGTGGGTTAATTTGTGCTGCTGAGAGAGGCTCTGAGCTCGCTGGGCTGTCTGCGTACCTGTGCTGAGGGGTAAGGCTGCACCAGGGTCAGTGTGGGGCCAGGAACAGAGCTCATAGCCCTGTGTTGTGGTACTGGTCTGTACTCATCTTTCTGCCTCTGTCCTAAGATGCTCTTGTGATGTGACCACCAAGTCCCCAAGGACAGCAGCCGGGCAGCAGCTGGCAGGACCACGCTTATCCCCTCCCAGCCTCCCGAACAGTGATGGTTCAGGTCAGCATCAACTGCCCCGGGGAATCCGGCCGGCTCTGCCACCCGGCACAAACAACAGGAGCCTTTCAGTCCTGTGTGCCAAAACCCCCGGGGTCTGGGGGTGCAGTTGCAGCCAGGGGGATTAGCACATTGTGTGCAGTATGTGCTGCCTTAATGGCTGGCACGGAAGCGCTCGCACTTCCGTTCGCTCATTCATTTGGCTATTAAATATCCGAGCTGATGTAGCAACTGGTGCTGGCAGAAGCACAATGGTTCTTGCAATGCCGCATGCTGAGGCCAGATCCTGAACCCCTCAACCCAGCCACGTCCCGAAGGAAAGGAGCAGGAGCTGCTCTCCGTGGCCGCTCAGCACAGAGCCTGGGCAGCACAGCGTGACCACCCCGGGATCTCGCTTGATGGCTGCAGCTCCTGGGCTTGGTCTTCCAGCTGGGAGTATTGTGCTGTGTGCCTGTTTTGCTGGGACTAAGCCTGGGAGGGTATCTTGCTTGCTGAGGCAGCATTCATGCCCCTGTGGGCTGGAGTGCTGGGCTGCATCGTCATCCTGGGTCCTGCTGGGATTGGCACCATGTACTTGGTGCAGGGGACACAAATTTCCATACTGAGGAGCAGGTAGGAACACAGGTGTGTTTTTTCCCCCTCCTATAGGAAGATTAAAGATGTTTTTTTTTCACTTTGGATCTGTGCTCAGAAGGCACAAAAAAGCTGACTGCTTCATTTTTGCCTCTCAGTGTGGTGCTCTTTGTCTGTTCAAGGTGTGAACAAGTCAGCAGCATCCGTTCATGTCAGCATCTCAGTGTCGCACTGCTGCTTTGTCTCAGGGGTGCATTTTTGAAAGCGTGCAGAGCAAGATGTCTTTTAAAGTGGAAACAACATGAAGGTGTGAATCCCTTTTGGAAAGGGTCTAAGGGGAACTGCCACCCATCTGCAACAGAATTGATTCCCTCCCCAAAACTCCCTCATTTGGGTTGAGTCAGTTGAGTTGAAAAATGCCAGATCCTGTTGCCCTGGCTCCAAATCGTGAGTACAAACATGCCCCACGCCTCTGTGATACCCCACACCTCGGTGATACCCCACACCTCCGTGGGGATGGGAGCTGCTGGGAGGCACCTGCCTCTGGTGCCTCCTCCAATGTCCCTTTCGCAGCATCGCGCTGTCCTCGAACGGGCTCTTTTGACCTTTTTTTGCCTTGATTCACTCAGCCCGGGCCTCTCCGGTGCCCCACGGGA